GCAGCTCACGTCAGCTACAAACCTACCTGAAGGATGAGATGTTTGAGCTCCTGGTCCGAGAGGAAGGCGGGCTTGTAGTGGCCCTCGGTGTATGAGTGCACGGCGCCGCGGATGGTCTTGAGGTGCTGCACGGCCATGCGCAGCACCGTCAACTTGTCCAGCTTGCGCGACATGGCGTGGCACATGGGCACCATGGCGGACAGCTCCGTGATGTACGTGTTCATCTTGTCACGACGACGCTTTTCGATCTCACTGTGATTCTGCCTGCAACGAGGAGCAAATGCACAATGAATTACCACCCTGTCCAAACATACCCCTACCACATCGAACAGCATAGGTGTGTGTTAGTGTGCAGCGAACAAGGTTGACGTCAAAATGGAGCTATTACAGTGCCCGCTCTCCAGCTCGCCCTTCTTAAACCCCAGCCAGAAATGGGACACGATCGACGTCGAATCGACGTTGACGTTGCTCGAAAAACGTGATTTTGTCACTCATATCGAGATGTCAAGGTCGAGTCGACATCCCAGGCTAAAATAACCATGGGGAAGGCCATGGTAAAATATCAATTATGGTAATACATGGTAGTCCATGGTCTCTCATGGTTTAATGTTTGTATTATGGTCATGGTAATCCATGGTAACGATGAGACACCATGGTTAAAGGTTGGGAAAACTATGGCTGAGAAATCGGAAACCATAATCCATCGTCAAGTTACCATGTTATTATGGCTCCTAGTGAACAAGATAACCATGGTTACCCATGGTTATTTTAGCCTGGGATCGGATCGACGTCGATGCAATTTTCATTTCTGGCTGGGAACCGGCCCATTGCGGCCGACAGATGATCTGACCCAGCGGCCGGTGTCAGCGCGGCAACGCAGCAAAGCGTTCTGCTGAAAGGTGGCTAGAGCCACCGCGCATCGTGTGACACCCGCGTAAGGGATGCGAGCAAGTCGAAGCAGAACGTCATTTTGATATCGGTTTGCGATAATTTTATTATCATGAAAAGTTGCGTGAAGTGTATAATCCTCTAATTTGAACCTCAAGTGGTGGGGGCGCGACGTTGCCACGTTGATGGCCGGATCATCCATTGCACCCCACTCTCACTTCAAACATTCTACAATTTGAAAACCGTGACGAGTCGGTTTGAGAGGACGCACTCTGCATTGAAGCTCGACCGGCAGAATTGACATCACCAGGCATCATGTGACATTATTTTTTACCCCCGATAGTTTCTACCTTTGCGTTTCAGGCGCGAGGGGCGCGAGGTTTCCCGCGGGCGCACTCAAGAGGAGAGGTAATCTGCCGCTGATTGGCGGAGAGCGAGAACGGTCCGGTCAATTGGCCACTGGGGCATCGGGTCCCATAGGCGGAGGGGTTGATGGCATGGGGGAGGGGGGGGGGGGGTGACTTAGGGCCGGGCAGACCACGTCGCGAGGGAGGGGCCGTCCCCGCGGGCCGCGGCGGGCGCTGCGGGGGCCATGGGCATGCCTCTGCGCCCGCCCGCCCCGAGGCCTTGAGTGTAGGGCTTCCTACCCTGGCCTGGGACTCCGTCGTGACGACACCTGATGGGTGCGGTGGGCCCAGGGTGGTGGGGCCCTGGGGTGGCTCGCTGGCTCTCGGGGGGGCTCAGTCAGTCGGCCGGATATGCTAGTGTGAAAATCCGATGCGAGGTGCAGTAGCAGTGGTGTCCGAAAAGGCGCCGGGGCACCATGTGCCATGTCAGGACTACGGCGTGTTTGCCCTCTTACTCCATACCCATTGTACACCCTCAAAAAGACAAGTCTGAGAACACGTTGACCGAGGATCAAGTTTTCTTTAAATAGAGCAAGGGGTGTTTATAATATAGCCAAATAAATTAAAGATGCCTCCTCAATAGGGACAATAATTGCTCTTCTGTTTTAAGAGAAAACTTATCATGGTTCAAAATATATTTTGAGCAAGAAAAGTTTATCCTTAGTAGATGTCATTGGTGTAAGTGTGTGCATTGGGGAAGTTTGATTGATTGCGGGTGGTTGAGGGTAGGTACGAGAACATTCACACTCACTTCTTATCGTCGGTCCTGCAGGACTTGCCATCCTCCGTGTCGTCATCAAAGTCGCTGCCGTCACTGCAAAACAAACAAGACAAAAGCTATAAGCAAGCAGAATAGGCGGTTGAGCCGTGGGGCGACCCGCGGCGGCCAGCCCTCGACGAGGGAGGGAAAGGGGAGCGGTGGAAAGGGGCGAGGACGATTACGGCACTGCTGTATTGTCCCTGGTTGTTTCGTAACAGGGTTGTGGGGCGGAGGGTAGGCGCGCATCGCAGCATAACAGGCGGACGGACGCGGCCTGTCGCGGCTGAGGCGGGGATGACAAGCGCCTGCCGGGTAGGCAACGCGTCGGAGAGCG